CAAACAGACTTCGACGCTCTGTATCTGCGAGCCTCTCGCATGTTCGATTGTCGTCTCGGTGGTGATGCAGACGCATGGCGCCTTGAGCTACATACCCCGTCTAGCCCGAACAATGCATCGATCTCTGTGCAGGGATACATGGATATCAACCTCACCAAGCTGCGCCACTTTCCTCTTGTCCTGGTCCCAGGGACACAGCAACTTCCATGGCACAAAGCTCCACCGAAGAACGTGGAGATCAGGCATTGGGCTCGGCAGTTCGGCAGGTGCAGTGTGTCCTTTGGAGCCTTCTTGGACATCAGCTGCAGTATCGGGTCTGGAATCCTGCGCAGGCTGAAGCCTTCTGCTAAACTGATACGCTGTACCTCAAAAGCGTCGGAAGTGCACGATGAAATCTAGCATAGATTGACACTTTGGCTTCGTCGTCTGAAAGCTGTTGAAGCCTCATCGGCCAACGCTTGCTACGGCAGCACGGGTGCTTCACAGACCCTTGTCTGTCCTGCTCTCATCAAGCTGGCCATCTCGCAAGACAATGCCAAGAGTGTAGCCCCCACTTCCTTGATGCACATTGGGCAAAATCAGCAAACAAAATGTTCCGAAACTCTTGCTGGACAGGTCGTGTCACTGGAGAAATGCGAAGACCCTTGCACAACTCAGCAAGACCACAACGGCCACACGCGACTGCTCTCAGAGCCTGACGTGGATCGCTGCTCCGGGCTCTGCCTGGTCTTTCATCTGAGGCCGTCCAACCGTTTCTGATGGTCGGCTTTGGCCTACCAAAGAAAGACCGGCCACAGTAGATGGTGCACGATGGTGCTTCGACCAATGCACAAGCAAAGATGGCTTCAAATCGCTGAGGCTCCACAAGCGCTGCATAGCACTGCTGGCTCTCCAGTGTTCTTCCACTGCATTCATTGCATGTGGAGGCTGTGGAGAGGCAATGCACCGATCAACGACAACTTACCGGAGTTCAGTCAGGCTGCACACCACTGCAAAGACGGGATTCTCACCCCGTAACGAATCCCAATGCAATGATCAATTGTTCAGCCGACTGCTCCTATGATGAATGTTTCATGGAAATTGCCGAAACAGTCACAAGCTGAATGGAAAGTCCTCGAATTTGCCACAATGTTGGTGAAGTGTGCTGAGCGATCATCTCGAGAATCCTTCCTTGCAAAAACTAAACACGAATCTCATGTCCACCTCCCAAGCTGCAATCTTCTGGGCTCAGGACCTGATGTGCCCTTTTGGCAGGTTTGACGGGCTGCACCCAACTTCGTCCTGCCTGTGAAGACAGGGTGTGCAGTTCGCTGCGTGCCGGTGGCTCAGTAGCAGAGCTTGTGCTCGACCCCTGAATCTCATCTTATCTACACTAAATGCTTGCTTCGCTGCTGGGGCACGTATTTTTTCATGCTCAAAGCTTCTGCACAGCCTGGACCAATTCGGAAACGGGCAACTTGGAGCAGGCACGGCCGTTTAGGAGCCAGCCGAGGATTGCGGCACAGCTAGAGACACGAGGAGGGCCGAATGCCGGATGGGTCATGCTCTGGAAGCTTCAAGCCAGGAGCTCCTTTTGCGAACGGAGGTTTCCGGACTGGTAGCTCCAGCTTGTACATGCAACCTTGCCACCTATACCCAAGATCCGAAAACGTTCAAGAACTCACTTTCCCAAACCTCTAACCAGGAATCCACCTGGACTGGTCCCCTGAATCCCTGCCCCTTACTGTCCAAACTCGAGGCCCTTCTACCCAAACAGGCCCCGAAGCCTGCCACCAAAACCCCAAGCATCCCCACACCGTAGGTCCTGAACCCACAACACTTACATGCACGTCCTGTGCCCTGAGTCCTGTTTCATGCTACCTTGTTCTTGCCTGCCCGATTCCTCGTTTTGCAAATGCTTCAAAGCTTGTGTTCCACGTCCCTTCTTCCAACCCGCCACCCCGAGTTCCGTTGATTCGCTCAAAAGCTGCGCTGGTCCGTTGAATTTCTCCCGCGATCAGAATCAAACACGCCAGCCGCTTTTTGGCACTACCCTTGCTTGCGCCCTCCTCGCCTCCCTCCCTTTCTCCCTTTACCTCCTCCCCCTCCCCCCAATCCACACCCGCACGGGCGCGCCAGCTTTTGGTCCCAACGATCAGGGTGATGGCCTTGAGGGTCGATGCGTATGTTTGTACTACCTTACCCACCTGTCATACCCCGTCCACCCCTTCCCACCCAAGTCTACATGCCCTACTTCCCGTCCAGAACGAGCTTCTTCATTTGGCCAAACACCAGTGAGCGTGGCTCCCTTGTCCGGTTGCAGATGAGTACGTATAAATCATGCATGTCACTGCGTTTCCGCGCTCGCATGCGCTCATGCGCTTGTGAGGTGTGTTGCCATCAGAGGTTTTCGGCCACACGGATCGCCAGAACGAGTCCCACCCGTGGAGATCATGCTCGAGCTCTCGGCTGTCGCAGGATCGCACCCCGGGTTTGGTGGCTTTTCGGCGGTCGGCGGAAGCCCGACCCTTTCTGCAAATGTATGAATGCATGCCGCCCTCTTCGCGTACCGCCAAGCAAAAATCATGAGTACCGGGCGGCCCTGAGGACTTCTGGCGTTGCAGGAGTCCAGCCGGCTCTCGATACACTGGAAAACACTGGAATTTACAGTGCTTGTGGGCTCCCAGAACGAAACTCCAAAGCGAGCATCATGAGCATCAGCTGCGTGTCATCGGCCCGATTCCAGCTCCTCAGACGTCACTCGGCAGGTTTGGTCGAAAAACGAGAGGTCCGCTGCACGGCTTTACAGGGCATTGTCGACATTCTCTGCAGGCATCTGCTATGTAATCGACCTGGCAAAGCTCCTGATCTGGTAGACCGTCTTTGAGTGGGAGACCATGATGTATGTGCATCTGGCATGCAACAACAGGACGACCTATTCAGATCCAATGGGAACAAATCGAGCATTTGCATGAACCCTTGTCATGCGCACAATTCAGAAAGAACGCTTGCGTGGCCCCTGGCATCTTGCGAGCAATTGTGGGGAGCGGCCACTGCTTGACCGCAGGCGTTCTCGAGTTACTTGATCGCGAAACAACCTCCTGAATGCTCCTAGCTTTTGCTAAAGCTTCGTGTAGGGCTCCAGTTCTGCCAGCGATGGTCAGAAGCATACTTAAGATACCCGAGCTCCATCCCTGATCTTGCAGCTCATCATGCACATTGTTTTGTGTTCACACTAACCCTCACGCTCTCCTGTAGGCCGTATGGGCAATGCTCCTAGCTTTTGCTAAAGCTTCGTGTAGGGCTCCAGTTCTGCCAGCGATGGTCAGAAGCATACTTAAGATACCCGAGCTCCATCCCTGATCTTGCAGCTCATCATGCACATTGTTTTGTGTTCACACTAACCCTCACGCTCTCCTGTAGGCCGTATGGGCGCCAGCTGCACGACAAGCGCCGCAGCCCATTGTCCTAATCAGTTTCGCCCCAAGAAGATGGCTGGGATAAGATGCTATGATGTACGTACCCCTATCTATGCCTAGAATCTATGCTAGGGGGCGATTCCAAGGCTTCTACCAGCCGTGGGGGGGAAGTGCATCTGTACAAGTGTTTCGGCTCTCGGCACCAACCCTGCGCAATGCAGTGGAAACAATTGGCATCGGATGTCATTCTTTCCATCCGTCTCCTACATAGGACTCGTCTAGCAACCAAGCTGCAAGCTTTCGTAGGTTTATTGACGACTCTGTCCAACCACCAGCAAGTTCTTCGAGGATGGCATGGAGTGTTTGGGCTTCCTGATCAGGCCACGGCCACCATGACCAGACCGCCAGTTCCGTTGTGCGAGTCCCACCCGTGCACCCCGGAGGACACACAGTCCACTTTGGCAGTTCATTGCGACACAGCGCGATGTCAACTGGTCCGGCTTTGCGCGTGCAGGCTCAAAGTCCACCCGGGAGGCATCTTCTGAATCAGGCTGCGACCCAAACACTGCGAAGCTTCATAGACAACCCACGAAGCTTTGAGGATCCCGCCTCAAGGGCGCCTCAACCTACTGTCCCTCGTAGGCTTGAGCCTAGTGACATCAGAGGTACAAGTGCGGCCTCATGCAGCCTCGGCATAACTTCAGTTTGCCAGCAAACACGCATTGATGACCTGGCCTTCCAAAAAAACATGCCCTCACAGAATCCAAGGTTCTACTGGAGCTGCCCCATTTAAGAACTTGTCACATCATCGAGGAAGTCATGCCGGTCACGTGGTCAGCTTTTCGGCCTGTGTCGAGTCCAGACCAGATCCTAAACTTGCAAAGCCAACGGCTGCTGGCTGCGACAAATGGCCGAGTGCCGCAAGCTCGGCACTGCCATATCTGCCAATGGAGCCTCGAGAGTCTCTAACAGGAATGCAACGACTGCATACTGACAGCTCATGTTAGCTTGGACGTCATGAGGCTTCTTCCGCACTGAATTCTGCTAATGAAAAATTATGCAAACAGCAGAGCATCAGATGGGAGCCGAGGCAGTACGGAAGCATCGCAGAATATCTTTTTAACTTGGCTTCTGACTAAGCAGTGTCCGTCCTGATCACACTGCCCTCGAATCCGGGAAGCTGAAGCTCCGCTTGTTGGCACTTCCAACGCCGATCTGCTTAGCTTAGCTTTCTGAAATGAACGTGGCAAGGAAGATCTGCCGGGTTCAGCGACTGAAAGCCCTTTGGGACCAGAGGCAACATCGCAGCAAATGCCCAAACTCAAAGCCTAATTCTGACTGCCTGCGAAGCGAGGACATGCAGCTGCCTCAACCCCTGATACCAATGCACTAAGAAAGCTTTGCTCACTAAGCTACCTGACCACCCTACATACACAAACCCTGCTTTGCAGGGTCCAACTGTTTCTGGCGCCTGCTTCGCAGGCCCAGCATGGCCTACTAGATCCCTACTTTGTCAGTGTCCCGTGGGTTGATAGGGCCAGTGCAGGGCGCAACAGTATTGTAACTTGTTGAAGGCACGTGCTTGCACTGATAAACTGCTGATCAGTCATCCTGAATTCCGAGTTTTTCACAGATCTTTGTCAGCAACTTCACAGCCCAGGAGGTTTTCAGCCTCGTGCACCGAACTATCTGCGAGACGAGGGTGCTACAATCAAGCGAGCCTGATGGCAATGATGTCGGTTTTTGATGCCGGACCGCGGCATTTGAGCAGGCCATCGATCATCTCCTGCCGATCGCTACTGCAAAGATTCAAGCCTTTCCACCATGCACAAGATCCATCACGTCGCTTGCCAAGTCTGGGCTGGGCAGTGGCTGCTTCTAGGCCAGTCTAGCTGTCTCACAGTGACGGCAGAATGCAAGTCAACCTACTGTTCCTGCTTCACGCCGCCAACACCACCACCACCACGACTTCAACTAGTACTACGACGAAGACAGGCAAAACAATACAGCGTGGGCATGACAGAACAATCATTTCCAAATGCCAGCATGGATTTCGAAGTCTGCTTGGGAAGCTGCTGTGGCAAGCTGTCTGCAGTCACCCAGTCCTCAAACTCCAACTCACCACTCAGGTCAGCGTCGAGAACGTCGAAAAGATCAAATTTGCAGGACATGTCTATCTCGGACTCCTCCAACCTGGCGCAATCTGTATGCCTATGATCCAAGAGCAGTCGCCAACTGCGAGAAGCAAAGATGAGTGTTAGCCCATGCCACCTTGATATCAGCTCCTTTTCTGTTGATAGCCTCAGATGTCGAGATTGTGCATCAGGAACGCTTGATTCCAGTGACCACGAAAATTCTGAGACAAGCCTGGACGAGCGATAGTGCACCTACTCAGCGGCAAGGCACCAATGGTTGAATTGCTCCTTGGTGACAACCTCAAGTCCCAACAGATGTCACTTCAGAGATGGTGGGGACCTAGACTGCGAGAAGTGCAACGTCGCCGGCGCTCTCTGTTGCAAGCACGCGGCGATATCCCGCTCTGCCATCTCCTCGCGGATCTGCCAAGTGAAGTCCTCGTACTCCTGCGTCGTGTGGGGCTTGTAGCCTGCAGCGAACAGGAGACCGGCGTGTGCTGACTGCAAGATACTGCAAGTTCACTGCTTCTGCCCTTGATCTTGAGAACGACGTCGAAATTTTTGCCGATGGGCCGTACATCTCCTGAAGAGCCTGCAAACGTTCCTGCAGAAGCTTCGACACTCGCCGTTGGCCACCCGGAACCTCAGACATGAAGGTGCGCTTGTTCTATACATAGGTCCGGAGCCATGAAATGCTCTGAAGCTCGGCCCCACAAAGCATTCGTGCAGACGCCTCATGGCGACAATTGCAAGGTGACCCCGACCTCGGCACCTCGACAAAGCTGAGCCACTATCGTTCCCAACTAGCACGTTGACGTCGTCAAGAATGCTGGCCGGGACGACATCGTGCTGTTTCTGTGTATGTCAACATAAACCATCCCTGACAGGATGCCTGTCTCCCGCTTAGCTCACGTACCCTGACAAAATGGGGGATGAGTGGATGACAACCCTGTTTCTGCTGAGTTACGCCATTGCGCTCCTCTTCCGCCACCTGGTCCTCAACCTAAAGAGCAGTGGTCAGGTGCGTCTAAGAACGCATGCCGTTTCTTCGGTCTCTGCCTTCGCATGAGCATGGGCAAAATGCATCCGTTTGCATGAGTACCGTTCCAATCTCGTTCTGCATGTCTCAATCTACTGATAGAACTTATTTGGGGTAGATCCGTGTACTTCCGCATCGATAGTCACAGGGTCGTGTGCGCGGAGCCTGCTTGCGCACTAAGTTGGTGAGGATGATCTCTCTCAGTGCTGACGCAATGACCTCGATGCAGATGTCTGCGTATGGCTATGTGTGGCATCACGTATCATGCAGCACGGAAGCAAACATGCCGAATTGACCGCATCGATTCCTTCGCATGCATCAGCCTTCTGCAGTCGAAAGGCCCACTCAGTTCTTGGAGCATTCTGGCCCAATTGCCGTTGTCTTTTTTTCGTGCTGCCATCTGTCACATTGTCTATGAAGACAGCCTCGGCGTGGGCTGAAGTTGAACCGAATTCTCGTACAACCCGACATCGTCTTCATGCACATCCAAGGCTCCATGATTAAGTTGAAAATTCCAATTGTAACCTCAAGCACCAAGTAACAGTGAGAAAGCCTGCCTATCATTGCGAGCGCGGGTAGTTTCGCAAGCTCCTATGTGCGGGCAGGCCACGAACAAGAACAGCAGAATGTAAGCAAACCTCAGATCATCCACGCAGCGGCAAAAAACTTATTCAAAATTTGGCTAGAGCCGCATCGGCTCTGACCTATGTGAAGCCAACCTGGGTCTACAGGCTTTCCTGTCAACTCGATTCTCGCTGCACTCCGTCTTCATCCGACAAGGTAAGGCGTGTCAGACTCCGGCAATGTTTGCTTCCGTGGTCTGTGTAGCTGACGGCAGATTCAGATTGTGATTTTTCACGGCTCCACGAGCTTCCTTTCGCTGTTCTGCACCATTATCTAATTTAGGCAAGCAGCATGAAAATCGGGCCTTTCTGTTTTCGCAGCTTCTCTTGCAGAGGCGTACCATCGTATGCCGCACAGCCATCCGTAAAGCAGCGAAAAGCCGTAAACATTGCTGAGGGGACATCTGTGAACCTTGGCTGACCCATTCTCAAGAACTGTGATTTTGGTTTCCAGGATGTTACTACTGAAGCTGTCAAGATGTAGCTCTTCCGGGCAGTTCCGAGAAGCTCTTCGAACTCCGAGAAGAGGGTCCTGTGTGTCACCAGGGCCATAAGACTGATGAATGGCTGAAAACTGCCTGGCTGACATGCCCAACGGCACTGCATGCTGCGTGATGCTGCAACGGTCCGAGAGATGACGCCCAGGAGGTACATGCATCCGACCAACAACACGACAGCCCAGAACAGCACGCGAAGGCCGGTAAAGACCTCAGAGATTGCGAGGCAAAAACGCAAACAGCAACATACCGCACACCATGCGTACTTGTCGCACATCTTCCTGAGTCAATTGGACTACATGGTACGATAGCCGCAGATCCAACGTCCCCTAGCGCCGTGTAAAAAAAAAAAACTTTCTCCGCAGCATGATTGTAGCTTGACGTAGGAAGCCCTCAGGCGACCACCCCTTGGATCATCAACTTCAGCTCCTGAGCAGACTCTGATCCGGACAAGGTCTCGCAAGAGACGCCTCCCGACCCTCCTCGTAATGACACCTCCCGTCCGTCCTGGAAAATCTTGAACTTCAGCAATCGAACGATTCGGCCCAAGCGAGCCAGCTTCAGCATCTTGAGCGACCCCAAAGTTCCTGCAAAGCGCGGTTCTGACCGGAATGGAGATAACATCCGCTGCAACATTGCTGTTGCAGTATCAATTGGAAGAGCTGCATTGCGAGCTGATTGCAGGCATGCACTTGAAGGTGGCCAACAGGCCCCGTTGAAACAAACTTTCCCGAACCTGCTGCCGAGCCCTCTGTTGATGAACTCTCTTGCGGGGCCTGCGAGGATGCGCAGACAGCGACTGCAAAAATGCCGGTTGATGTATACTGAGTTCCAAAACATCGCACTCGAGCCTTGCATCCAGAACTGGCAGCCGGGTCCATGCTGGAATAGGTCAAGCTTAGGTCCACGATGGCCAAAACGACCTGATGTCGAAGGGGACGGTGATGCTGTAGCACTGTAGCACTTGTGTTCAGTTGAGATCAAGACAACCTGCACAGTGGGCACCTCCCAAAATCGTGCAAGCCCTGCTTGCGCGAGCTTCAACTGTGTTTCCATATGTGGTAAGCAAACTTGCACAAGATTCTGCGCAGTGCATAAAACGAAGTAAAGATGCGGTTGATCAGAATCTTCTGAATCGGCAACTGCTGCTTTCAATATGAGGCTGCAAATAACATCCAATTGCGGCTGACAGCTCTGAGCTCTGACTGGCCACGTAGCAAGGAGCAATCAGAATATGAGTTTCTGTAAGCTTCTTGAACTTTCCGCGTTGCGGGTTGGTGCCACACGGCTGCCTGCAGCTAATCTCGAGTTATCTGGAGTGGTTTCTGGCCTTAATCTGGTTTCATGGCTCAGCGGCCCCCAAAGGCGAGAGCTACACGCTCAAATTTCTCTCTCGCACAAGGTTTCGCGAATTGCAAGCTTTAAACCATCTAATGCCCAAAAAAGCTTTCAAAGGCTTGCTATAGCATCAATTGTTCAAGACCTAAATGAAACTTCGAAGAGGGCAAGTACACAGAGGCTGAATGGAGCATGCAACAAGGCAGCTTCTGCAGGTCGCCGCCTGTTGTACGGCAGTGGCAAACAAGCGATTCGAAGCAATCTGTGGGAAAACACACACGACAAGAACACTTGGTAGTTTCCAAATGCGTGCCTTTTTCATGGGATTTCTTTGTTTTCCCACATGTTTGAACACACTGTTAGGGCCCGGTTTTGGAATAAAAACCGTACTTGACTAGGTGACAAGGGTGTACCAGCAGCCTCGGACGATGCAAATGCAGCAGCGAAACCACCACAACGGGCAACACAACAAATAACATCGTCAAGTTTATCATGAACCGAACAATATTGAAAGCAGAGCTCGACGCGAATCGCGAGGATCTCTTGCATAGCAACCAGTTGCCACGGCAAAGCCTGCCGAGCTAACTAAATCTGCACTCTCCAGATCCAGTGACAGGACCACACTTGGCCCAAAAGATCAGCACGTCCACCTATGACCTTCCTAGAAAAAACTTCCTTGTCACGAAACGCTTCAGCACATCCCAAACACATTCGTTGCGGAAAGGAGTCAGCCAGTCAGCCGAGAGACTACCAACCCTAATCGTTGTCTCAATCAAAGTGTTCATTGCCAAATAGACAGAGAGGACACATCAGTCCCAGAAAACGCAAGGAAGTCATGGAAGTCGTGAGACGCGGGAACCGTTATGGCGAAGCACGAGCAGGCATGCCAGTGCAAGTAGCAGCCGCAGAGTGGGATGCAGGGCTGGGAACACTTAAGTAGGCTCCGTGAGCAAAGTGAGCCATTTGTTGGTCACAAGCAACCTGGCGTAATCATCCTCCTACTGTAGACCTTCCCCCAAAGCCCGTAAAACGGAAGTCTCTTCGATTTGCTTTTTGCGAAGCCTTAGGGGAGCTGTCGTCTGAAAAGGGAAACACGCTCCTACATTGCGAATCTACTCTGAATTTCATGGTGTGTTGTCTGGACAAGTACCAAGAAGGCATAATCCTGCCATTATGTCATGCTGGTACCTCTTTCCGCCGACTGTAAAAGAATTGTGTTCGTTTTCCCACCAAAATACGTGCTCACCGGGCCAGGATAAGTGTTCAAATTCCAACCAAAATAAGTGTTCACCGGGCCAGGAGAAGTGTTCATTTTCCGACCAAAATAAGTGTTCACCGGGCCAGGAGAAGTGTTCATTTTCCAACCAAAATAAGTGTTCACCGGGCCAGGATAAGTGTTCACTTTCCCACCAAAATAAGTGTTCACCGGGCCAGGATAAGTGTTCACCTTCCCACCAAAATACGTGTTCACCGGGCCAGGATAAGTGTTCACTTTCCAACCAAAATAAGTGTTCACCGGGCCAGCATAAGTGTTCACCTTCCCACCAAAATCCGTGTTCACCGGGCCAGGATAAGTGTTCACTTTCCCACCAAAATAAGTGTTCACCGGGCCAGGATAAGTGTTCACCTTTCCCTGCAAAGCAAGTGTTCACTTGGCCCGGAGAAGTGCTCAAAACCATACCCAATCATGGCCGAAATAGGCCAGGACATCCGGTCTAAAGAGGGGTGTTGTTTTACCGTTAGAGGCAGGAAATTAGTTACATCGTAACCACGTAACAACAATGAATGATCCTTTAAACCCACCGGTTTTACCAGATGTGCGGCGTAAGGACCATGATGTCCACATCGATGGACCAATGGGATCGCTGGCCCATCATCTGTCATAGGGACAGAGAGCAAAACTTTACAGCAATGCAGCCATCCAAATCAGCTTTTCGGTGCGAATGAATCACACGGACCTCAAAGACTACAAAAAAGCAGCAGTTGAAGAACACACTCGATCTGAACATGTGAACAGCAAGAGCCTTTCCTCTCAGACTGGAAAGCTGGTATAGTAATCCAGTTTGTGGTTACAGGGTTCGGGTCGGGCTTTGCGAGCCAGAATAAGTGGACCAGTGGATGAATTGCTTTACGGCTTAAAAACTTGACTCTTCAGTGGTGAACCAGATGAGCTATATTGCCTGATTCGGCTGCTGTATGCATGCATGCCTGTATGCGCATGTATACATATACATATACATATACATATACATATACATATACATGTACATGTACATGTACATATACATATACGTATTCATATACATATACATGTGTATACATACATACAACTCACTTGTCTGTGAAATGCTCGCTTATCTGCTTACTTATGTAGGTACTTATGTATGTATTTACTTACTTCAATGATGTTGATTCTTTATGTATGGTTGTTCATTTCTACCAAGTAACTACTTACGTGACTGCCTACTTATGTAGATACTCATCTTTGTACCTAGTCATTTCAATCCTTCAACATCTATTCGCTTACGTATTTGTGTATGACTACTACTGTTTATTCGTAGTTCCATCTTGTCGCTGTGTTTGTGATTGCGTGCCCAAGCCGTTACCTGTACAGGCAGTCAGAGTGCATTCAACCATGACCCAGGGCCATGAAACGAGCCCCAAGAGGCAGTTGTGAAGGGAGTTCAGACAAGGACTTCGGCCCACCCATTCAAAAGACCTTGAAGGGAGCGAATAAAGAGTCCACCAGCCTAGATTGCCAGCACCACGGCCCACAACCGAGTTCTGAAGGGAAACCATGGGAGCCAAGATTGCGGCACTGGACCACAGCCCACCCATTCAACCCAGTCCGGCCCACCTCTTTTGAGGAGAAAACGCGAAACAAAAAATTGAAGCTGCTGAGAACACAAAAACATCGAGATTCTTCTCGAAGTCCTGCGGGAGACATGCAGGAACGAATCTTACAAGTTCCGAGTTGAACTACCAGGGTAATGAATCGGCTTCGAGGCTAAATGCTGCAATACCGAGCAGTAAGTAGCGAATACCCACTGCGCCATCATCGTTGCGACGCAAGCCAAGTTTTGCACATCACTCCCCGGCTTCGGACGAGTGTGCATGATCGCGAACTTCGGCTGAAGGTCAAGCCTAGTGGACACGTTACACCTGGTACGAATAAGACACACGTGCTCGAGACCTGTCGCGGGAACTCGTCGCAAGTGATACTTGCATGCAAGCAACACAGATGATGTCGAACCAACTCCAATACCTTGGTAGTGCTAAACGTTCTTCATGCCTCTATCTGGCAGTCCGCCGAGGGTACCGAAATTCTGGCTATCCTCGCTCAAACTTGCATTGCCCTGTACCAGAAACCATTGCGGCAAGTCGCCAATCTGCTCCACGCAGGTACTCCCTGAAACCGAACACCCTCAGCTTCATCACGATCTCCTTGCATAGTCGATGGCCATGCTTTATTTCCGGTTAAGACCAAGCAGTCAAGCACTGGAAGCCTTCATGCTACCTTAACTGTGCTTGACTCATCTTGCGAACAGGTAGATTGCTCTTTTCGCGGTGCTCGAGCACTCAAGTGAAGTCCATGCCTCAAAAAGCTCCCGTGCACATGTGCCACTGAGAATCTCCAATGAAGAAGACCGTGAATAGTATTTCCAACACCTGTCGGAAGTGAGCTGAGGCGGTATGGACACCGGGGGTTTCCAATGAGGGGCAAGTGCAGGACTGTCCGGGTCGAACACCACCGCAGGCCTTCCACACTGCATGGTCTGGGCATATGTCGGCGCTCATCCCAGCAATGGCAGCGCTGAGAACGATCACACAAGCTGGAATGACGTCCAGAAGCAACAAGAAAGTTGAGTTGTCCTCACGTCAGGTCACCTTCAGATCTGGAGCCGGCCTAGGCATAAACCGACGTCCCCTGTGTCCTCGGACTCCTCCTCATCGATGGGAACTTTGTTCAAACTTCCTGTGTTCCTCAGCGCACCAAACCACAGGATGACCCCTCAGAAGACGAGGATACAGGCGAGTCTCTGCCGCTTCAGCTTGCTTGCTCCGCTCTTCGAACCGATTCGTCGAGGACTGCCGTTTGGCACTTTGTCGCCTCAGTTCAAGTTGGACCAGCTCCGCCGGTACTTGCGAAGAACTGCAAGGAGATGCAATGCCAGCAGGCAGCATCCCTCTTCCTTGAGAGCGTTCGGAATCCCTGAGCTGCAACAGCAAAGGCTCGGGCTCAAAGCTGCCACCGTGCCAGCTCAGGGTATGCGACGATACGTGGTGTAAGTTTCCAAAACACTTCCTTTCTCCTAACAGTTGCGAGGCTGCTTCCAGAACTGCCATTTCGTACGCTGCCTTGAGGATGGATGCAACACTGAAGCATGTAGGGACCCCAACTTGCCAGAGAGAGCAACGACAGAAACTGGTACAGTAATGTGCGATCCAGCAAGACACAATCAGCAAGATCAACCACACGATGCGACTGGTCCATCTGCTTAAGAGTTTGGCAGCATGAGCAGGCCACTGGATTGCAATCGAAGACAAGGCACACTCATTCCGCACTGCCCCAGGCAGGTCCAACGACAGGGAGGTTGATGGAGTCGCCACATAGGCAGTCACCGGCTGCAGGGGTGGAGCATCCTCGGGTTACGTCTCAGGAGCAGGCAGCACCGGATCCGACAAATGACATGCCCGTCGCTCAACTGAGGTGCATGATGATCATGTCGCAGCCGATGAAACAGCTGCGTCCCCTGCATCCTTGGCCGTTTGCTTGCACACTTCCATCATCTTCTGTCATTTTGGAATCTCAAACACACTTCAATCTTGCAAGTCCAACAATGGTCTCTTGATCCACAGCGCTGGAAAAGAATCACGTAGATTGGTCTTCTTCATCAGAAACAACTGAAGGGCTGAGAACTGCCATTCTGACGGCACTCTCGTCACCTTTTGATGAGCATCCCTCGAGCTAACCAAACTGAGCTGCACATGAATCGTTCTGGGTCCAAACCAAGGAAGTTTAGTCAGTCTAGATTTTTCAGGCCAGTTCACCAAGAGCTGTACTGTGTCTCGAACATCTGCTTTGATGCTCACCATGTGCTTCGAAGCGGCTCCTTCTTGAGTTCGGTGTTCTCCAGAGCCAGCCGCTCATACTCTGCACTCAATGCCAGCAGGTGCCGTTGGAACGGAGTCTCCCCTAAGATCATGGCTCGCCCGCTCCCGCTCAGTCCGGGAGCAGGGTGCTTGGAAAATCTGCCTGACCAATCTGCGGCCTATCGACACTCAAACCTGCTGTCCAATAAACACTGTGCACGTTCAAAACTTCAAAGGGGTCCTTCGACTGGGCATTTTGACCTTGCAGCAAGGCGTGCTGACCGCTCGGATGACTCTTGTGCAAACTTCTATGCCCAAATTGCATCGTCCTACCTGGAGCCAACTGCTACAGAGCTACAGGGCAGCTGTCTCATTTTGTGCCGGCCGCCGCAGACTTCCCCTTCCGAGTTGTATGCATCTGCACGCTTTTTACGCTTTGCAACTTGCCCAGGCTCTGGGGCCAGTCCAGCTGTTAGCTTCATCAATGCCAGGTCTCCGACCCTCCCGACCAATCGGGGGCTGATGACGCAGACTTCGCAGAAACCCAGCCAGACTTGTGCGAGGAACTGCCGTCCATCTACATCCAAGCGAAGCAGATCACGGCAACGCACCAGTGCAGTGTTCATTGCTTTGCAAGTGACATCACACACTTAAACCAAGATTTGGTTGACTGCAAACTCAGTCAGCAGCCATGGACCCCAGTAGCCTTACAGCGTGCTAGGATCTAGTGCACTCCGCATACAAAGCCTCACACTTCCGAAAGCTGGCATGGACTGTAATCTGCAGTTTGCGACGAACCGTGCTGCAGCCAAGCAACCCTTGTACTGAGTTTGCGCCTTTCTACACGCAGCCATGTCCTTGGAGCCTCTCTTTGGGGAGTAAACAGCTTTCTGCAGCTCGTCCACCCGAGACAGCATCTCCCGGAACACGTCCAGCTTTTGGGCAGCAATCCTTGACCACCACAACGACTGAAGCCACTAAAGTGAATCAGCCGACGAAACGACGGAGGAGGCAACATCCACCGAGGGTCGATGTAGATTCGCCTGGATCTTGGAAAATGTCCTGAAGCAAACTCAGAATATTAATCTGCCGAGACAGTCTCTTCCACTTGGGATAAGTGCGACAACCAGGGCACAAAGAGGCATCCATGTTGTGGGTCCGTGCCACAGCGACGTGGATGCAGAAGCGGCACCTTGTACTGCTTCGGGGTTTAAGCCCCTGTCGAAATCAAAAGCAGAACAGAACCTGCTCACAAACACCTGAACGTTCATGACTGGCCTAAGCGAACTACTTACTGCATACGTGCCGAGGTGCTAAGTGGCTGCTTGTGTTTGGCCAGCGCGGCCCGGTTATTACCTCTCCACGCGATATGTTTGCATGTGGACAAATAGCCATCTTCGGACATGGTGTTGCAATGATGGGCCTCTTCAAATAAGTGCACTGGCTGTCCCACGAAAGCCCCGATGCTGGCTGCAGGACGCAGTTCTGAAAGTACCGTTCTCTTGAATAAGCTGAGCTGCGTTCTGACTGACTTGCCGCCGAAGACCCATGGAGTTCCATTTACGCACGTCCACTCCAACGAGCAGCTTGTATCTGCAGGCCGCAGGCGACATGTGATTTATGCTACGTAAGGCCCAACATCCGTCAACCATGGGAGGCGTCGCTCTGAGCTCTGCTCCTCTGCTCTGCTCTACGGGCCTCCCGCGGATGACTCCGCCGACGAAGGTCTGGCCATCGCCGTTGGGTGTCGCAGAAGAAGTCTCGCCAATGAGCACTTCCTCCGGCTGAGGTATAAGAACCAGGTGCTACATGTAACCCTCACCGTCCGTTTTGGAACTGGACAGGCCAAGTGCAGCAACGCCAGCCGTTTCAACTACCGTGTGGGGGGAAATGAGGCGGCATGGAGAACGAGCTGGCACCATCGTGGGAAGGACAGGAACTGCTTGCACGCATGCAGTTTATGCAGCACACTGAGACTTCTCAGACACAGTAGAATTGCTTGAGCACCGCCCTCGCCCAAGCGCAATACTCCTCACGCGGGGAACGTGCAACTTCTCCAGACAGCCACGGCCACAGGTTCTGAGCATACATGGATTTTTCTGATTTTCCAATTGCCTCTTGTGCCAACATGCACGCCCTCCAAATCCAAGGAACCAAGGAGTCATGCGGCGGCAGCCCAGCTGCTGCCGCCTGATGATCATAGGGATCTACGCCGGCGAGCGCTGCATAAGTGGCGTACCTGAGGAGTGCTGCTGAAGGCTGACGTTGATCGGGCTGGCGGTGGCTGCCTAAACACGAGCACACACTTGGTCCATGGCCAGTCCCATGCTGCTGCAAAGCCCTCATCGCGAGCACCACGACCTGTCCGAGAGAAAGATCCAAGGCTTCTTCGTTTGGGACTTGAGACGAACAAGGACGACTACCCTGCAAAATGACGGACATTGCTATAATGTTAATGTCTCGCTCTGCAGACTGAGCACACTATGGCAGCAGTGGCCATGGGCCATGGGCTTGTTTCCGATTTCCCTCTCGCAGCTTCTCTGAGCTTGTGGCGGGATGGCGGCACAAGCCCACCGGTCACGAAAGCGTTAACACCTTCGTCTTTGGTCGAGATACTGAGAAACTGCAGCGGTCCACGACACGCCAAGAAACGGATTCCGCCCTCGAAGTTGGAGAACTTACCTGAAAAGACTGCTCACAAATGCCTTGGACTGTCGCGTGAGGCTTCTCTCCTCTCCAGAATTCCGGCCTCCTCGCAACGGCCAGTTGTTGCCTCCACACATCCCAGCACCCATAATCTCGCCACCGTTGTCGCTGTGGAAAACTACAAGGCTCCTGTTCCACATCTCCCTCTCCTGTCACAGCACAGTTGGGCGCAGCTGTCACATGCAACTGAAATACAGGCGCACATGTGTCCACACAAGGGTCACATGGTGGCTGTCTGAAAAAACTTGCGCATCACGCAGAAGCCGTTTCTGGAATCACATGACGGGTGCAGCTTGCGCTTCGAGCCAAATCAGATCTTCAGGACATCGTGTTTACCAGCCGTCAACCGGGCATCGTGCTTGTGGCCACGTCGCTCTCGCCTTTCTAGATGCCCCCCCTTGTGTTCTGCTCGTTAGTCGGAGCTTTCCGGTTGGATTGGAATCAGCGAAACCCGGGGCGTTGACATCACAAGACGATCAACACATACTCGATATCATATCTGGGATCCCCAGATCTTGTTTGACCTCAAAGATTGGTCGAGACCGTTTCGACCAAATCTCGGCATTTTGCACTTCTTGGGGCGTTCTGAACTTTTTCGCTTCCAGCGCAACTCTCCGAATTCCGGAGTTATGAGTTTGCTCCAGCACGAACACATGTGAAGGATTGACCGATGCAGCATGCCCTCAGAGTGTTGGCTTGTTGCATCACCGCATTTGAGGTGCAGCGCAATCCGCTAATTCCAAGCCCTTCCAACATCTGCTCCTGACACTCCCTACGGTCTTCAACCCCTGCAATGCGACGAATATCAAGGGTTGAAGTTTGAAGAGCCATCACTAGTCAAGGCTGCCCGTTCCTGCCTTGAGCAGCTGGACGACATCTCCAACTTGCTCGTCCATGTAGTTCACCATTGCATGCAGCAAACGCCGGTGTTTCTCCTTGACGTGTGCAAACCTTCGCTGCGAAACACTCACATCATGAATGATGTTGCCACGCTCCCGGGTTCCCATCTTTTCGTGTCCATAACAGGTTGACTGAAATCAAACGAGCATCTTCTGTTCAAAAGCAAAAGGGACCTGCAGCGGCATGTGCACCAAATGCATTGACCAGAACAGGAAAAGCGGTCTTGACAGATTGTGCTCCCGAATCACGTCTTTGACAGCATCCGTGAGGAGAGCTTCTTCGTAAATGCAAGTCTCACCCGATGGATGCTGGTTGCTTTGTGAGCAGGAGGGTCCGTTCGCAAGCGCCCAGGCCGGGCCATCATAGGATGTGTTGTATTGCCAGAGATCTCGCATCTTGTGCAAGCCACACTGATCAACAGTGTGTTGCCAGTAATCATTGCTGTGATGCCAGTATCCCAGCCAACTATCATAGCCACGAGCTCGGGGATGATGTTGCGGAGTGGCCATCCCTACATCCCACTTACCAACTATATGAGTGCTGTAGCCGGCGGCTTTCAAATGGCTGGCTATTCCCGTCATATTCAGCGGAATGCCTTGAAAACCACCCAGTACATCCCGCGAGTTGACGCATTCAGGATTGACGTTTTGAACGTTCACGTGAATGGGATTCCTCCCAGTCTGGATTGCACTCCGTGCTGGAGAGCAGAATTGATAGGTGTAGAATCGATCCAACTCGATGCCAGACCTGCGTGCGGCTAGTGCTGCAAGGCCCTACATTCAATTATTGGACTGTGGATCTCGCATGAGGAAGAACCAGCCTGGCCAATGCATCCAGGTTGGGCGTTCGAACGTCGCCATCTCCTGCTTGACGATGATAACCTCAGCTCAGGTCCACGTCTTTCAACAATTCGAAAGGCTTGTCAACGTCATTTCAGACGAGTATGCCGTTTCGGGTCATGTACGGCCAATTACTGACTAGTACTACCGCTATTGCTGCAGCTGCTGTTGCTCTCCTCCTCCTCCGACTGGTAGCCTACTAAAGTGAGTCGGTAAACGACAACGCCAGAGCAGCTTACGTGAAAAGGGAATGATGGCTGCCACACCAAGTACCACAAAGAAGATGTTGGTTGACAAACCTATTGCCTACTTGGAAATGTTTGCCAAAAAGGAGATGTTGGTTCCAGACACGATGAACAACAAACGAACTTGTTAGTTGCAAACCCAGTATCCTAGAAGGCGATGAAAGGTGGGCAAGCCAACATCCTAAAAGGAGACGTTGGTTGATACACCCACAACCCGAAAAGGAGATTTTGGCTACGAAGCCCAACATCCCAAAATTGCAAGCAGATGATGGCCGCGGAACCCAGAACCCCCGAAAAGGGCATGAAAGCTAGCAAACCCTCAATCTCAAACGAGATGTTGGTCGTCAAATCTGTTAAAATGGTTGAGAAACCCTAAACCCCAAAAAAGGAAACGCTGGTCGAGAAGCCCTAAACCTAAACCCTAAAAGGAAATGCTGGCTGCTAAACCGACCCAGAACCTCAAGAAAGATGCTGGTTGCCAAACGTCTAACCCTCAATCGTTTCCAACCGAGGCCGGAGGCGCGGTGTGTCCAGTTCTTGTTTTTGACTTTGGTTGGGCTTTGAGGGGAGTTTAGGCTTGGGTCCCGCAGGTGCGGCTGAAAGGGGCCCCCACTGCCCAACCCCCACTTGTTCGCCCCCTCGCCACTTCTTCTCTCGGTACAGCGAGACATCGAAGCGAGCGCTTCCACAATAACATGACAAGCAACTGCGGACGAGCCTCTCGGAGCCCGGAGCTGGTGGTTGAGACTCCCTAACCCCTAAAAATACTGTTGGTTGCCAACCCAGTACCCTGGTTGAGAAAGACGATGCTGGTTGAAGAACCCAAAACCCTAAACGGAGATGTTAGTTAGGAAACCCTAAACCCTGAAAGGACAGTTAGTTGCGAATGAGAGCTGGGAAACCCCAAACCTCAAAGAAGATGTTGACTTCAACCCAGAACCTGCTGCCAAACCCAAACCCCAGAAGGACGTTTTGGCTGAGAAGCCCAAATCACTCTAGACTAGACCCAACATGTCTCTGGCGCTCCGAAACCGGGAGCGCTCAGGCCTGGGATTCAGTTCCTAAACTCGGATACGAACAAACCAGGCGGATTCGCTTCATGGGGGGGACTGCCAGCTGTGAATCCAGTCTCCAGAACGGAAACATGTAGAAACCGACCACTATGCAGCTTCAGACAAACAGCCAACGTCTGCCCAGCCAAAGTCGTCCGCCAGAATGTGGATGATGTGTGGCTTTTGAGCTGTTGATGCCGAGGCAGCTGCCTGAAACCCGCTGCAAAAATGGCATCATGCGCTGCACAGACCTTGGGTCTACTTCCAATCTGAGGCTGAAGCACTGCCGCTTCGCACCAGGAGCAGCAGGACGCTGATGGCCGCGTCCAGTGTCATGGCAGAAAGCATATCTATGGGCAGCGCACTAGTGGCTGGATTGCAAAACTAATACTAACACCTTGCATCACATGGGCTTGAAGCTTCTAGGAAAATGTTCTGGAAGCTGAAGCGGCAAAAAAAACACAAGGCTAGCTGGGAGGCTGACAGCAAAACCCGGGAAATTGTGAATAGCATTACGTCGGAGCAAGGAAACACCCTGCAGAGTGCCAGCACGCCTCCGATTGCTGGCTAAGGAAGGCGGGTCAAGAAGTCACAATGTGCAAAAAGCGAACGAGGCGAACTCAACACCGATGACGAAATCTTTGCACAACGTCCGAGACATAGTTGGACATCCACGTGTGCTATTTGCGGTTAAGGTTCAGGGTTTAGGGTTTGGACTTGGAAATTCTCAGAGTTCCACTCGTGATGAGAAACAAATCCCCATCCATGACCAACGTCATCATTTACAGACATAACACTTTTGCCTCAAGCCCCTGATTCGCTCGCAACCGGACACTTGGGTCCCCCAGCACGATGATCTCCGAAGCCCTCTCCAAGCCAAGAACCCAACCCTGTGAGTGGAACTTGAAACTTGTCATCTCCATGTGGATCGTTCTCCCAGTTGCCGGCATTTCTATACTAGAAACCTCTCCTGAAGCCGGTGTGCTCAAGCTGCATAGTCAAATGGGATCCATGGTGGCATGTGTTATGTGTTGGCGTTGATAGAGCGGGGAAAATGCCGCTGTTGATGACACTCTGTAGAGCAACCGTGTCGACGAGTTGGAGATCGCGACTACCCGGCTGTGACATGGCACGAATAGCCCTACCTATACACATTCTTGTGACCCTTGATTGATTGGTGCTTACCTGTGCTTGGGCTGGCGGGTTAGTGCTGGCCCCGACATGGCTACACCTTCATTCCCTGAACTTAAGTGGTGTTGTGGCATCTTCAAGGAGGCAAGTTCAGCATATCAGAATTTGCATTGACAAGACACAGCCATGTCGCCCGGGCTTTTAGATGCACTTGAAGCATTCGTTGTGCTTTAACCTCGCAGGCTTCAGAAGCATATGGGCTGTGACAATGCCATGCCACTCAAATTACTATCCTCCGACAAGAGCAGACTGCACACCTGCAATACGCTTGACGACTTGACGAGGGAAGACTATCTCCCTCAGTTGCTTCGAAAGCAAACTTGGTCGGATCGGAGACGAAGATCTCCGCATCTGCCAAGCCACGCAGAATGAAGAAGAGGGCCATTGCAGCAGCCAGAGCACATGTGGATAGCGCGAGGCGGTACCTCACAACTGCACCAAACCTAGAACGCAGGCACTGCATATGCAGATCAGAGGCTGCCAACACCTGAACCTCAAGTGAATCGAGTTTAGACAGCAGCCAGCTGGCTCGCGCTTGGAAACGTCCCCGGGTTGTCGGTGAAGTCGCCAAACCAAGTGGGCCTGAACAACTTTCTGTAGCGCCTGGCCGGTGTCGATTTTCAGGCACAAAAACTCGAAGTTCTCACCATCCTCACCTCCTCTGGGGACAGCAGCCGCAGTCGTGGAGCGATTGCATCACGTTGCCTGCAAGGAGGAAGTCGGCATTGCGCAGCACCAAGGTGACTAAGAATGAGCTTCAGCGGCCTTCTGTGCATCAAAAGGTCGGCATTCGATGAAGCGAAAGGCCCTCGCGGATGCGTTCCCTTGGCTACGAGGTGCGTCCTCGCACAATTCAGATGCACATGCAAGCTTGCATTGGCCTGTAAAGCACATCTGCTGTGGTCCTCAATGGCATAGAGAGCGGCTGACGGTCGCCCACGGTAACCTCGCGACGCCGGCTGGTTCGATGACATGCTAGGCCCTTCCGGTTGTGTGATGTGGTGTTGATTAAGCATGCCTGCCCAAGACATCCATCGAAAAGGCAGTCGAAACGATGTGGTCGAGAGGCGAAAGCATGTGCTCGTGTTATCAGGCGCGGGGAATAGATGTATATGGCCATGGCAAATCAATAACACAAAACAACGATGTAAACTCGCAGTTCGTTCAGATCACCGAATCGAACATACAAAAGCTCCTGTCAGAAGATCGCCAGGACTGACAAAAAACTTGCAGATTGGACAGGCAAAAGTATGCAACACCATGTGGAGATGCATCCGCCGCATCGAAGGTCTGGGTGCAAAATTGCTGTTGGCATCGGAATACAGGGGCACCCTGGAAACCGCAGACTCGATCATGTATCGAAAAGTATTCGATGACTTATACCTCCACCTTTTGCAGACACAAAGGACATGGAACTAAAACGGTTGTACAGCTGCTTTGGCTTTTGGTGCAGGTGTTCCAAGGTCATATGTTGCGCTATGCTGGAACGCAGGCATGTCTCTGAATGCACGAGTCAATGCAGGCCCAAACATGAGAATGCGGAACTGCAATTCCCCAAGAAGTGGGCCTCGTGTGTTGCATCCTGGAACTGGTACTGCACATAGAGGCTGAGCTCAGCTTCCGAATCCAAAGGTAGTGGGTTGTAGACTCCTGGCAAGTCCACCTGCACAAATCCCTCCGTGTCAGGGCACAGCGAGCTCGGGTCATGTCCAACATGAAGAGCTTCTTGTGTTCCCGAAAACACCTTTCTTGTTTTCTTGCACTGATGTCATAATGCAGCTCTGGCTTTTGTTAAGATACCGTCTTTAATGCGCTTTTCAAGCGGTTTTCTCACGCACGCAAAACTACAGTCTCGGTTGCCCGTCAGCGCGGACTGCTTTCAGAAACAGATTGCTATTTCGGGATTTCATGCGCATGCCTACTGGAACGGGGTTTACGACAGAGCTTTCTCCACTTTGCCCTGTCTTGGGAATGGAGTTGTACCTTGCGGAACAACTGGGTGTTATCCATGCATGTCGGAGAAGAGCGGCTATGTGCGCTGTGTATTTGAGCAACAGTGGATGAAATCAGGCATAGGCGGCATAAGTAGTGAAACTGACTCCGGAGGATCAGTGAACCCACCATCCCAAAATCGTGGCAAGTGCCATCTGTCCCGCAGCACACGGACCAGTGACGGGAAACCAAGACAGTGAGACCGTGGAACGACATGCAGGTCGGAGGCCTGCCAGCTAGGCGTTGCCTTGCAGTCACCCGAATGGCGGACGGACATGGGCACTGGTGTGAGGAAGTGACGCGCAGGGGCAACAAAGGACAGGTTGAATGCCCAAGTCACGGATGGCCAAGAACGTGGCGCATATGCCACAAGACAAGGCTACTACTGCGACACTGCGCGAGGACTGCATGAGGCTTGGGCCTGATTGGATGCGCAATGCCTAGACTTGGCGGGAGCTAAGCGCCGCATCTTGAAGGGGAGGAAGTAATGGGCCAAGACCAGGCCGTTAAGGGAAGTCCCTGTGCTTCCCGTTTAAATCGGCGGGAACTGACAGGTTAAGCTCGCCTGCTTTTGTCAGAATGTGGCCTCAGACGATGCTTCGCGATAGAACTGACTTGCCACATGCCAGGAAGCTTTATGACTTGTCCAGCACTTGGACCCGACCGTGGCATCGTGTTCATCACACCGGCCTGCGAACATGAGAACCCACTTTATGAAGTCAACCCCATCCAACAATGTGGATCAATTTGTTGTCGTCCTCGGGCACGAACGAGTTAGTCCCCGTCGACGGGGTGAAGTGGCACAAACTGATGGTTTCACTTAAGCGGACAGGAATGTATTGCATTCGTAGTCTGTACGGACAAGCACCTTTCCGGCACCAACTTATAAACATGCTGGGAACGCCTTTTTTCCCAAAAAGTACAAGAACTCGTATGTACTCCCGTAATCCTTCGAGAGACTCTTCGGGACTTGAGCGTCGCCTGGGTCGGCAGTCACTCACGGGGTAGCTGCGATTGGCCATGCCCTTTGCTTGACAGGTCAACGCCGTCAGTTGCCCCAACGAGCACTGGCAAGGCCGGAGTCGGCACGGGCCACACAGAAATGACCGAGGCGCTGCGCGGAGAGATGGACGAAATGGAACCGATGCTGCAGAGCCAGGATGTGACAACCCTGGTTCAGCTGCAGGTGACGAGCATGAACGCGTTTCTGAAACTGCTGGAAAGCCTCCTCCTCTTCTGCGTCCTCGTCCTCGTCCTCGTCCTCCTCCTCCTCCTGCTCCTCCTCCGGTCCGCAAATTGCAGGAGAGCAGGGACTTGAACTGAAGCTGCGAGTTGCTGCTGGCTAGTCTTCTCGATCGCAGTCCACGACTTGGGTTCTGCCAATGTCTTTGGCGGGATAGCAGTGGCAACGCAAAGGCTTCAGCGACAGCGTCGCGATCACATCCTGTCACTGTTGCTGGAACACTTTCTGCGCACATAACAGAACATCCATGAACAGCCGGATGCAACCCAAACACTTTTCGCAGCCAGCGGGCAGTTGGGAATGACTCAAATCCCTTGCGTCGAGGATCGAACGTCTATCGAAATGCAGGCTGGAAACATCGCACGGGCACCATCCCTCCGCAATGCTGTCGCCTGCTCGACCACGCGGTCACCGCTCCACTGTGATTGGAGTTGGTTTTCACCTTGTCATTGAGCCGTAACACCATTTCAACTGGCCACGCCAGGTCGAGCTCTCTTCACAATCACTGTGATGATAGACCGTCGCAGCGATGTGCTTCATGCAGTTGTGACATCACCCGAGGGCCGCTATCTTTGTAGGTGTAAGGCTCAGGGCTGCTCTTTCGAGAATCTGAAAGAATGCCTGATACCGAGCAATGGTCTTAGGTGTGCCGCGTGGTGCAGCAATACGAGGATGCGTCAATCAAAAGCTGCGACTGTGAAGCCTGTGGAGCAGCCGGATCGAATGATCTGGTCAGTACAGTGCCAAAGTGCCGGACAACGATGCTGCGATACACAAGTCAACAGTCAATTGTTGCTGTTGTTGCTACTGCTGGCGACGTTGTTATCCTTGTATCCCTGTTGGTGATGCTTTGCTTTTGTTCTTCAAGCGGTTGATGTCAATGTTCCGTTGGTACGATGACTAACCATGGGGATGCAACGGGGAATGACAGCCATGTCAGTCCAGGCGCCAGGTCGTGCGCGAAAATCTCATAATACAGAAGAGGAGACTACGCAGATGCTCATGATGCTGCTCATGCTGATGATGGTGACGGTGATGAAGATGATGATCGTCATCACCCCCATCATCATCATCATCGTCATCATCATCATCATCATCGATGCCGCCAGCGTCATGGTCATGCTCATGATCATGGCATTCATGGCTCCCTCCCCGATGCTTTCACTGTTGTTGACGCTTTGGGGACTCTGCGTGCTGGGCAACCACGCATAGACAAGCCACACATGTCACACTGAATTTCCACAAGCATTAGAAATCCTGCCTTCGATGCAGTGACGCCGCCATGTAAAATAATCCTGTGTTCCTCCACCTGAGGTGCGAATAGTTACGCCAGGCAGCCATCAGCAGCGGGACCGTGAGCCCATGAGCCACAGGATGCATGGCTAGTTGGAAATGAGGGGTATCTGAAATGGAAGGGAAGCAGGGAAGCCCTGAAACAACAACTACAGTACCTGCGTCGTCTGTAGAGCCAAGCCGCCAAGCACTGCAGCGCCGGGGTCACATCTATCCACGGCCCGACCAAGTCTTCCCCGCGTATAGGCCTGTGTGAAAGTCTAGTGTTTCACATTGTTTCACTCAGATTTCAACAACGCGATTGGATTAGCAGATTAGCATACTTGGTGTCGATGGCCCAAAGGGAAGCTTGCACAAATTACACTTTCAGGTGGGGACGCAAATCCTTATACTGTAAGCCGTGTACAGAAGTCTGTCTGAAAATGCATCGACGTTCCACAATTTGCCAAATGTGTCAATGCATGATCTGGCCTGTCACCCACCAAAGCTTCGTGCAAGATCTCTTCACGCAGCTGCAAGTTGCCATAAAGTGCCTGATTGACCAGTCAGGTGTCGAAGTCGCAAGGCCAGGCGTGAATCAGCAGGTTCGCCAACACTTCCGCAAGACATGCAACAAAGAACGGCCCGCAAAACCTCGCTTCCATGGAAAGCAACACAGCTATGTAAGATTCAACATGCGATGTTCACCGCAGCAAGTCAGAACTGTACGGCGGCTTGTGTGTCAGTCATGTTTTCGAAGGTGAATGCAAACGCGTGGCCGCCGGCCTGCGTGACAACCAACCCTTTGACCTTCCGTTCTTCCTGCAAGATCCGGCGAAGCTGCACCTGCCCAGCTCACAAGCCGTGCACAAGCACGGGAACTTTACTCAACGACCAATACATACGAACCGGGACTTTCCAGGGGCACATCTGAATCTCGAGAGGCCTCCATATTTCGAAGATCGGTTTCTGCCTGCTCCTCGTAGTTTGGCAGGAACGGTTCGCTTGACAAGGAAAGCATCTTGCACTCATGCTGTTCCAAAAATCATGCCTTTACTTGAAGCCCTCCAGAAGTGTGCTTCAAGAAGCATCTCTTACTCGCAAGCCACTGCCAATCCTTGCAGCGCATCAAAAGCTCTTCGCCCTCCGATCCCACAGCGATGGAAGATCGTCCAAAGGTTCTCAGATCATATTGCAGCCTCGCACAGCAGGATCGAAAACACATTGTCGTGCGACGAAAGCTGTGACAACCACAATCATTGCTGACCTCCTCGTGGGATGAGAGAGACACCGATATGCACTTTGCACCTGAACACAGCAACCCGCAATGAATGCGTGCAAGCGCTTCCGTTGAAGGAAGTTTTAAAAAGAAGCAGGTGTAACACAGATGTGCCTTGCGGGCATCACAACGTCACAAAACATGCGAACTATAGGTGTCAACAACACTACCTTACAGACAGCCTTCTTGCCTCATGGAAATGTTCGGCTGTTGCAGCACCACCTATGCGGCGGCCACCTGGCAGCATCTGCGCGCAACATCGACATTTATGTACACAGGCGGCTGCTGTACTTGATGGAAGCCCACCTTTGTCAGGGTGGAATTCGCGCATGAGAGAGTGGTACCTGGTTCGTGGCTGCTGCCTACAGTACTCTCATATTGGCAGGGACTCAGTTACCCTGCCCATGAATTCCACATCAGCGCAGTGGCTATGTATTCCTTATCACAACTGCAAGAAATTGCAAACACCCTCCTGAAACAAATGTTCGATCTAGTACTTGATGCGACTGCGCATTCAGTGAAGTTCTTTGCTTCTTGGATACGTCCTGCGGATTTCTTCTTCGGATGCATCCCATGGGATCGACATAATCGCCTCGAAATCCGAGATTGCCGTGGCCACAAAGTCCACATGACAGCGACGAGAATCAATGACTGAAATATCAGAAGCAAGCAGCATAGTAGCTGTTCCGAACATGTGGAAGCGGTAATGCATCATGGGCCGGCGCCATCGCGAATGACCACAGTGAATTCTGGATCTGTCGGAGACGCTAGTCTACTTCACATAACTCCGAAACCGTGTGCGATGCTGGCTTGCCTAGTATCCCGCTATGTGTCGAGGGTGCATGTGAAAAAATAGCCTGCGTATCCTGCCTTAACAAACAGTCAAGACATGAGTAGGACAGCAGCCGACTATGGTGGTGGCCTGTGTCCCCAAATCTGCGGCAAAGGCGGCAAAGGCTTCAAGGACGGAAGTCCGTTCGGACAAAATTCACGTTGCTTGCCCTGCAAAAAGCAACCCCTCCTGCATGCAAGTCTTGGACGGCGGTTTTGCAGAATGGTTCAAATCCCTCGTCGGCTTTCCTCCCAAGCTGAGGAATACCGATTAGGGTACAGCGGCGATGCAAACATCTTCGCCATAGCGGGCATGCCGTCTGCCATCGAGCGACGGCTGCCTGAGCCGCACATCTCTGACCGCCACGAAGCATTTGTTTGCCCTGTCCGGCGCATTCCGAGCTGCATTTAGAAAACTGGTGAAACTAAAACAGTGTTCACGAACGTCCCTGCAAAGAAAATGACCCTGCCCCGAGAGGCTGAGGCGCCAGGTTCGTGGAATTCTGATGGAGCTGAGACATCAAATTCTCCACGGCTGTTCCTCAAATTCACGCTACTGAGCAGCTGAGGTCATCGGGGCATCGCAGAAGCCTGAACAAGATCTGTTCTTGTTCACCGAGCCGGTAGCTTCCGCACAGGAAAGTGGCGAGCATGTCCATGTCGCCGAGCAGCTCGAACCGACGTTTCCCAAAGGGTAGCTGTGATTTAAACAGTGTAAACAATGCGGAGTTTGTTGTCATTCAACCAAAGGCTAAGGATTCTCAGAGAAACGTAGCTGGTTGCGATAAACGACTGGCAGAAATGGCGTCCAGCACGATTATCCTTGACGCGAGCAGGCAAAAGGAACCTGCGGACAGAATTATTCTGAAGCGGAGGCTCGCAACCCGCGAAGTGAAGATCACTCTGACGGATATGTGTAATATCTGAGGAAGCAACTCGGAAAAGCAATCGAAAGCTCCCGAAGACACGTGGCCAGGCCAAAGCATGCCTTGCTGGTACACGATGGAATCTGTGGGTGTTCCCTAGGCAAAAAAACGAAACTGGCAACGCAGAGATCAAACGAAGCAAGTGACTGCCTGGGCCTGGGCAAGCGACAAGCTTATCTTGTGATGCCTGTTCGAGTTTACTACGAGAAGCACGCTCGCTCAGATGCTGAAGAAGGAGAATGCTGTCGCCAAGTCGTGATGGAGGTTGGCTCTCGCCAGATCGTCTGGGAAGTCACCACGGTGATTGGCAACCATCTCTGCTCCGGCTTCCATGAAAATCTGAACCAACGCAGTGCTACCGAGCAGAGCAGCGAACGCTACGGGTGTCAGGCCGGGCAAAGACGCTAATACCTTGACACTCATCAGCGAACTGCACTCCATCCTGACAAAGGCGAAGTAAGCACGGGCTCCGTACGTGATCGCCTTGAAAACGCCGTCGGGATGCGCTTTGAAATTCAAATTTGCACCGTGTGCAAGCAGGAGTCGTGCAATGTCTGCTGCATGCCCGTTCTCCCGAGAAAAGGCAGTTATTGCATGAAGCGGCCCATACCCGAGACCATGAATCTTTGGGTTCGGGTCACACTTCAGAGAAAGCATCGCTTCAATCGTTCGTGGGCAAGCATGCGACATGACCAGAGCTATGGGCGACAGCCCCAGTGGGAAGACTGGCGAATGCAAGTCAGCGCCGAATTCAGCCAATACATGCAGGTGCCTGAAATTGCAAGCAACATTGCATACAGAGTGCAAGTAAGGTGACGCCTGAATTCCTACATACCTCATACCAACACAAACAGTCTCCGATGCTGAAGCTTCAACCAAGATGCTCCGAGGATCTTACCATGCCAATGGGAGTCACCCCATTCCGATCTTGTGCATTCACATCTGCGCCAAGTTCGAGAAAGGTAGAGAGCACCTGACTTGCTAATCAAATCCACGTGCCAACCCTAACGAGCTCAATTGCATCTGGCAACTTCCGCGCCTGGACCGAACACGATTTGGCAATCAATCCCAATGCTGGCTGCCCATCGAAGAAACCCAGTTCGAGGAGACCTTTCACTTTGAAGTTGACATCAGCCGGAGTCTCTACAAGTTGTCGCAACATTCCGATGTCTTCCGAGAAAGCTGCGCACATCACGCCGTTCATGCCGAGCTTGGCCCGTGTGTGCTCCAAGTTATCAAAACGAAAGTCGTCGAGGAAGGTTTCCAAGCTGCGTGCTGTGCTCTTCTGGCCCAACATCATGGGGCGTTGTGCAACGAAGAAGCGGTACACGTCCCACATGCCGTGGCTGGCCAAAAAAGCCATCTTGCGTGCCAGGGCTACAGCACCGAGCTGGGACACCTCGGCCCGATCCTCCTCAACCGTAAACTCGCCATCGCAGATGCGGTTCGCCTGCGAGCGCTTTCTAAAAGCCATTGCCAAGCCTACTCAAAAGGGTCAAGCTCTAGGCATAGCAATGCGAGTTCAACGAGGTACACACCCGGTCCTGCCAGTCAAAGGGGTGAATGAATTTCACCTCGCTGGGACAATGCACGACGATCACACTGGTGTTCCGCTTGCAGGATAAAAGGCGGCACCAGAGCTCCGCAATGCACCAGCCCCTCGACAGCCATGAACTATAGTTGCAGATGCCTGTGCTGCTGTAATCCCAATGAAAAGTTCTGCGACTAAAAGATCGGCATCGCAGGACAGTAATCTACTGATTAATCGGGTCGACACAATCCAGCCCAGACACTGCCATTCTCTCGCGTCAAATTCGGGACAAGCGCTACGAACAGGTCCGCAACCTCCACATAGACCGGAATGCTTCGGACCGCCAGCAAGCCTTGCGACTGTGTTTGGTCTTCCCGCATACGCGCGGTGATGTGCGGTATCGCAAACCAATCCAGGAACACGTATCCATTGCACACCGCCTGAATGCAAATACGGCACAACTTCAAACTGCAATCTCGGGACAGGCCTCGTGGCAAGAAAAACAATGAACAAATACCTATTTCATCCCTGCCTTACGCGTTTCGGCATCAACCTTCTCCAAGCTCGCATTCATCACTGTAATCGGATCTGCCTCCACTTCCAGGGATCCATCGACAATGCCTCGAAGTGTATCGCGCAAGATGGCAAACTGCCGACCACCAGGGTCTGGATGAGCTGCTCCCAACCATTGGTGAGATATGAAAATTGTGAACATGCCATGGCACCTGGGTTCAATTGCCGAGAAGCAGAAACAAGGCCGTGTGTGGCAAACCATTCGTCATAGCTTCCAAAAGTTAACCAGACACAAAAGCTGCAAACAATGTCCGCCACTGGGCCAGGTGTGAAGCAAACCAAGTTTCTCAAGTTCCATGTGTGGCAGCGGAACATTGTCCATCTGCAAAATATCGGACACCTCGAAAATGCTTTCTGCATGCGAGCTTTCGGGTTGAGGAGCAAATGCGCAGGGATGTTCGCACACCATTGACAAAGGGTGACACACATGTTGAAGACTGTGAAACAGCCGAAATTATCCAACGAAACGCTTTGGGATGCAGGAGTAGTCTGATCCCACATGTCGCAACCCTGCCTTGACCACATTCATGGGGTAATACATCTCGTGCACATACTCCAGCTGCAGCTGCGTAGTTGTTGTTGGATGGCAGCGGTAACCCGTCGAGCAAGCAGTGCCCATGGCGACGGGGAGCTGTTTTTTGAACAAATGGTTTAAATAAACTCAACTATGGTTTTCGACAGTACCGATCAGCAATGCATAAACACGCAGCTTCTTATGCTTGTATAAACAAAAACGATGCCAAAGTTGAATGTTCGACAAACCCGACGGTTTGGAAAGCAAAAACAAAACATGTTGGGAAGCATCAAGCTGCCGTGAGATGATGACACTCACTTCGGCTTTGTCAACAATATTGCATGCGTTCTCTATGTATGTTTCACGTAAGCGCACGAGAGAGCGAGAGAGAGAGGGAAAGCGCACTCACTCTTTTTAACGGCAGAGGTTGCATTGTCCGTGCCAAGCGTGGCGAGCATTAAGTCTGTGCTGTGCGAGGCACGATACATAGCCCCCCAACGGGTGTGGAGGGTGGGTGAAAAAATTTTTTATGCTTGCGGGGCCGCGGCCCGTCCTGCAGTGTATTCTATGTTTGAGCATCCGAAGCGGCGCGGTGCTTAATATGACAACACACAGAAAACACTGCTGACTTAAACAAACAAACGCACAGCGAGAACGGTGTATGTTTCACCGTAAGAGAGAAAGAGAGAGAAGAGAAAGGGAAAGCGCACTCGCTCTTTTTAACGGCAGAGGTTGCATCCGTGCCCAAGCGTGGCGAGCATGAAGTCTCTGCTGTGAGTGTGCTATGACACTGCGAGACTGAAGCCAGTTGTGCAAAACAATGCATGATCTGTCCGCAGTGCAAAAGCAATGCCGTCCGCAAGACAGTGCATCCGCCCAGTTCTTTTCCTTGCAAGGTGCTCTATTTGAAACTGCATGCGGTGCGGTGCCAACTGTACCAACGTCTCAAAGCAGCCCATGTGCGGCTGAAGAGCACCAGCTGTGGCGCTGTGGCCATTCCGTGCACACTTGCGTCGATTGCTTTTCAGCTCCGGGCAGTCTGCATTGATTGAAAGCGGCCCACAAATGCTATAAAAGTCCCGCTCGGAGATCAGCGCACGCTTCTGTGCAGGCACCACACAGTGTCATTTCGGGGCGCGTTTCGCACTCTGGTGGCACACAAAAGATAGGATAGCAACACGCACTGCTGTGTTTGCATCCACACCAGCGTGGCTCCACGAGGATGATCTGCTTTTGCTGCTCAGGCACCACTTGGCGACAGCACGGCAAAAGTGCCTCGCAAAGCACTGGATCTCGGACTTGTTGAACTGGGCGACCTTGCTGAGCACACTTCCCTTTGATGGCACCAGTTGGAGGGTTTGGAGCGGCTTTAGTGTGTCTTTGAATTTCATGTTTCTGCTTGTTGAAGCGATTTCGTGTGGACGTTTCCTTTCGTGTTCCTTCAAGTCTCTTTCTCAGCCTCTTTTCAGCCTTTCTTCAAACCACCCTAGAGTCAAACCAGGTTGCTTCAAACTTAGGTTCCACCTGGGTTAAACCTAAGTTTCAAACCTGGATTCAAACCTGGATAACCTGGATGTAATCTGGATTTTTAATCCGAGTTGGAACCTGGGTTTCACCTGGGTTTTAACCTAAGTAATAAGACGAAAATAAAGAGCAAACTAGAATGAAAAAACCACAAACTCAACAAGACGCAACCACCAAACAAAAGAAGAACAAGAAATCGCTCTGTGTGGGGCTTTTGCGAAAAAAATAAAATGAGAAATGAGACAAAAAAAATGAGAGTAAACTAAAATAAAAAAACCACAAACAGAAACAAGACGCAACCACCAAAACTAAAAAAAAAAGAAGCCACGCAAAATCGCTTTGTGTGGGGGGCTTTTGCGAAAAAAAATGAGAAGAAGAAGTAATGAGACAAAATGCAATCAAAAACAGAAAAAACAACACAAAGTCAAACAAAACGCAATCACAAAACAATAAACAAAAAAACAAAAAAGAACACAAAGTCAAACAAAACGCAATCACAAACCAAAAAAAAAGAAGCCACAAGATCGCTTTGTGGTGTTTGGTTTGACTGGACCTCGTCGACTACGGCTGACAAACAAGCGAACCTTTCACAAACAACAAACTACAAACAACAAAACAGGCGTTAAAACCCAAACGCGCCTTGAGGCACACTTCTAGGTTTAGTAAAAGGAGGTGCAAGCCGACTGACTGACTACGTCACGCAAGGCTACAGCAGTGAAAGCTAACAGCACTTTTACACCTTTCGTCGCAACCAACTGTTCACCACGCGCTTGTCACGCAGTGCAAGGCTTGAGCCAAAGTGAAACGGGGCGCAGACAGAGACTTCAGCACACTCACTTCCGAGGTAAGTCCTAAGGACTCCTAACGGCTTCTCTGCACTGGTAACTCTGTTCTATGGCCCAGGTGCTCCCCGGACTTCGTCTAGAAGTCCGTTCTCACAGCAAACAAACTGAAAACACTCTGATGTTCATCATGCTTCAGGGAAACACCGTTCTTCGTGAAAACTCGTGAGGAAAACTCCGGTTGGACACGCTTCTGGTAATGATCACTTTCACCGCAAGGTGAGACAGGAAGCGTGAGCGCAGCGACCGACAGACAGACAACTTTTCCCTACTCCTACCGTTCACAACTACACCTAAGGTTCTCTAAAACTCACAAAGGAGAAAACAGAAAGTGTTCCTGACCTTGGCGAGACACAGGGGCACCATTATAGGATTGAAAATCACGCTCGAGCGGTCGGTCCGCTGGGCTGAGCCCAGTTCGAGTCAGGGTGAGACGAAGTTTGAGGGGAGTCACCTCACCCTGAGTTCTGAGCCTAGTCCACTTTGGGAGCGGCGAGTTTCTCTAGACCAGTCTGACATCAGGTGATGTCCTTAAACAGCACCCTCGGCACAGACTGGTCGAGCTCACCTGCCTACTGCGGTTGCCCTCAGCCTACCTTCCAAGGAGTCTCCTCACTTTGAGCTAGGCGGCAACAAAAGGGGTGCAAGGGAGGTATCTCAACCTTGTAGCTTCTCCAAGTCCACGGAGTCTCCTCACGTTGTTGGCTTGTAGAGCAAGGGAGTAACCTCACCTTGAGCAGACTTAGGCTTGTGACCAAATTGGCTCGTTGAATTAAAGCTGGAAAGGGGAGTCTCCTCACCCTGGAGCGGCTTGCAAGCTTAAGGGAGTCACCTCACCTTAAGACCCTTCAAGGGGTTTCTCAACTTGTTGGGGTGTCCAAACTTGGGATCGGAACGAGCTGCCAGGTTGTATCATCCGGATTGCTCCAAGGGTTGCTCAGGGGAATGACCATACCAACCCTGTAGCACAAAGGGAGGTAGGTTAAGAACCCCGAGTCCTTTAAACCCTCGAAGTGGTGCGGGAAGTCCTGGAGGCGGTGGAGGAAGACCTTGGCCAAAACCTCGGGGGAGCCATAGAGATGGATTTGTTCTTCCACCCATGGCCCAAACATTTCATGTTTGGCACATAGGCCAAGGAGCCCCTTGGTTGCCGCCTTTCCAGGCCAGTGCTTGTGCTGCGCTTCTCTCCAGCGGCCCCCGTCGTACAAACAAACCTGCACGTAGTCGGCCGAGCGCAGCTTTGCACTTTGGAGCGCCATGTTCTCGGCGCGTGTGCGCGCCAAGGTCGGGAGGGCCCAACCTACGTTGTGCTCCCCAAGATCCGACAAGCGGATATGGCAGGCACACAAAAACGCGACCACACTTAACAAGGCCAGGAGGTCCGGGACATCAAGTGTCCTAAGCCTTCCCTGCGGAGAAGCCACAGGGATGACCCGCCTGTAGAAAACCGCGCGGGCACGAAGGGAAAAACCCCGGCCATGGCCATTCTCTGACAAGGTGAGCAGGACTTCACCAGAGGACCCCGGTCGAGGAATAAAGGTGAAATCTCTGGATAATCCCTCCAGAAAAATCTGCTCCTGGTCCATGGCCTCGGCGAGCCCCAGCTTGAGGACCTGAACTTCGGCTCCAAGTCCCCATTGAGCCGGGGGCTCCAAGGTGACACGACTGCCACCTACCCCCAATACGGCCCATACCCCTCCAAGCTCGTCCTCCAGCTCCGCCGGAGTGTAAGTAGTCCAAGGCGTGCCAGACGTGCCTTTTTTGTTTAGGGACACGCCTCGGAGGGATCTCGGGATCTTCAGGGGCTGCTTGAAAAGAAGCTCCAAGGGAACCTCCGGATCTGGTTCCCCTCTGATGTCCTCGCCCTTGATTCCCGGATCTGGGCCTGAATGGGACTGCGCTGGGGATGGAGCTTCGGTGGTGGCCGGTGAGTTTGCCTCAACCTGGGCACTGGGGACAGGATCTGGGTGAGGTGAGGGTTCCTCAACCTGCTCAGGCACCAAAGAAGAGGCTGGCTCAGGTGAGATCTTCTCAACCTGTGTTTTGGAAGCCGGGCATTCTGTATCCGGCTTGGGCGCCGGTGAGGTAACCTCAACCTGGGAGCTTTGGGCAGGCTCCTGCTTAGGAGAGGTCAGTACCTCTTCCTGCTCAGGCTCCAAGGGAGAGGCCGGTTCAGGCGAGACCTTCTCAACCTGGGTTGTAGCGGCCGGGCCTGGATCACCAGCATCTGTATCCGGCTTGGTTGCCGGTGAAGGAACCTCAATCTGAGAACTCTGGGCAGGTTCCTGCTTAGGAGAGGTCAGCACCTCATCCTGCTCAGGCCCCAAAGGAGAGGTTGGTGCAGGCGAGACCTGCTCAACCTGGGTTGTGGAGGCTAGGCTTGGTTCATCAGCATTGGAAGGCGAGGGCACCTCAGCCTGCAGATTGGAACCGGAGGCTCTTGGCGAGGCCTCCTCAGCCTGGGCCTCTGTGCGTTGCCGCTTTGGCGGTGGTGGTGGTGGGGTTCGGGCTACCCCCGTCTTGGGTGCGGCTTTTGGCCTCGTGATAGGGGCCTCCACCGACCTTGACAAGTTGGGACCAGAAGCCGGAGGTTCCCGGTCGGTACCTGAATGCTGGCTTTGCCTGGAGTACCTTGATCTCGAAATAGCAGGTTTGCCCTCACTAAAACGATGCTGCAAGAGGGCCTGGTACCGCTGTTCCGTTACCGGGTCCTCGAAAGGGGCATTCTGCCCCTTCCCT